TATAGACTAGACTATAGACTAGACTATAGACTAGACTATAGACTAGACTATAGACTAGACTATAGACTAGACTATAGACTAGACTATAGACTAGACTATAGACTAGACTATAGACTAGACTATAGACTAGACTATAGACTAGACTATAGACTAGACTATAGACTAGACTATAGACTAGACTATAGACTAGACTATAGACTAGACTATAGACTAGACTATAGACTAGACTATAGACTAGACTATAGACTAGACTATAGACTAGACTAAGGACTAGACTAGTCTATAGACTAACTAACTAACTAACTAAAATGCGTGTTTATTGATCCGTTTAATAAGATTTCTTATTTTTTGGTCTATTTGCAGATAATCAACTTTTGCAATGATGTTATAAAAACTCTTCTGGGTAAGTTTTTAAACTATTTCTTAAATATTTTAATTGTGTGAAAAGAATTAAAAAATGTATCTCAATCAATAATTTTTTATATATCATTTTGCAAAAACAATTCAAATAATTGCTACTTGACTTGTTGTATCTTTACATATATTTATATTGGATAACATATGATAAGTGTTTTATATATTTCTTATTTTTTAAATTGATTGGACGTGACTTTTTAACGAAAAGTCACAAAATCTATGAGTTTGTTTTCCCCCTCAATTATTTATTTTGTCCCAAATAAGAAAAAATCTTAAAGATAATTGACTTAGACAACATACATGTAACCTCTTATAGAAATATGAAGAAAAAAATCATACATATATGAACTTATAACAATCTGCGGCCTCAAGTGTTTGAACGTTAAAAACAATAGGATATTATAGGATATTTTTTAAGGATGTATGTTTATTTAACTAAATCTGTGCAAAATTTAAAAAGGGTGTGCAATTTTTTTTGAAAAGGGGTTAAAAATCAAATGGCCTAAAGCTTGTTTGTTTTTGTTTCAATGGAAAATTATTGTAAATTGTCTTAGCAGGTTGTTCGCACTAAATTTTCTATAAAAATTTGTGTTGTGTTCACACATAATCAAAAACTTCAATAGAAGCTGTGTTATGTTCACACTACAACAAAATTTTCACAAAACGACATTTTCTATATAAGTTTGTGCTGTGCTCATACTACGACAACATTTTCTATAGAAACTTGTGCTGTGTTCACACGACAACAAAATTTTCTATAGAAAATTGTGCTGTGTTCACACATAATCAAAAACTTCTATAGAAATCTGTGCTATGTTCACACAACGACAAACATTTTTATAGAAAATTGTGCTGTGTTCACACAACGACAAAATGTTCTATATAAAATTGTGCTGTGTTCACACATAATCAAAAACTTCTATAGAAATCTGTGCTATGTTCACACGACAACAAAATTTTCTATAGAAACTTGTGCTGTGTTCACATGACAACAAAATTTTCTATTGAAAATTCTGCTGTGTTCACACAACGATAAAATTTTATATAGAAAATTGTGCTGTGTTCACACAGCAACAAATTTTATATAGAAAATTGTGCTGTGTTCATACAACGACAAAATTTTCTACAGAAAATTAAGCTGTGTTCACACAACGACAAAATTTTCTATAGAAAATTAAGCTGTGTTCACACAACGACAAAATTTTCTATAAAAAATTGTGTTGTGTTTACACAACGACAAAATGTTCAATAGTACATTAAGCTGCGTTCACACATAGTAAAAATTTTTTTGTGCTGTGTTCACACAACGACAAAATTTTCTATAGAAACTTGTGCTGTGTTCACACGATAATAAAATTTTCTATAGAAAATTGTGCTGTGTTCACACAACGACAAAATTTCCTATAGTAACTTGTGCTTTGTTCACACAACGACAAAATTTTCTATAGAAACTTCTGCTCTGTTCACACAATGACAATATTTTCTATAGCTAATTTTAATATGTTCACACTAATACAAAGTTTTTCTATAAAAATCTTTGCTGTGTTCACACTTAAAATTTTCCATTTTTAATGTTTTCTTTTTGAATTATAACGTTTTTACTCATAAAAACAATTGAAACTTTGACACATCCTTTCGTTATTACTTTATGGTTAAATAAAAAACCACAGGATATAACCAGACCAATTAGTGGCACTATAATGATTCTTCATTTCTCAAAACAACAAAGACCACAACTGTTAATAGCTCAACACTTGAGTTGCATAAGGGTGAGGAAGAAGAGAGAGAGAGGGAGGGAAAAGGGTGAAAGTGAAATTATTCAAACACTTTGTGACAAAAAATTGTAAATTGAAAAATGTAAAACAAACTAACAAAAAGCCCTTGAGGTAAGTTAACAAAATAATGCCATGTTAACAACTTTATAAGCAATTTGTCACGTACGACATAGAAAAACAATAGAATAGCAAAAACCGCCCTAAATGACAAGTGAAATCTGTTTTTTCTAAAGTGTAAAACGAGCTGAAAATTGTGTATATTTTTGTTTAATTGTTATACAGCAATTAAAAATGTAAAACAAAAGATTCGTTTTTGACTTTGCCTGTTTTAAGGGCCTAAGGCAAATTTTGTCATGTTTTACCATATAAATAGATAACTGTTCAAAAGAAGAGAGTGTTTTTTTTTCTTCTAATGATAAATGTTAATTAGCATGGTAAATAGTATATAATTGTAGATTTTATATATGATTCTTTGTCTGTCAGTTTGTTAAGAGTTTCATTTTGCTAAACTAGAAGGATAAAGAAACTTATCATCTAAACATAAGTATCATAATAAACAATTAGCAACTATTTAAATGTTAAATACACAATTTAGATTTAAAGACAACAAATAAAACAAGTTTATGTTTTATGTCATAAATATTGACATGAAAAGGAACATTAAGATAGAGCAGCATAAATAAAAAAATAACGAGACTTAATTGTTTAAATTTATGACCAAAAAAGACAACAAAATTTTCAATGGATCACATTATTATATAGAAAGCTGTGTCTGTCATTTTCTATACATACATAATTTTGTCGTTGTGGGAACACAGCAACATTTCCTATATCAAAATTGTTGTTGTGGGAACACAGCACAATTTTCCATAGAAAATTTTATCGTTGTGTAAACACACCAATATTTTCTATAGAAAATTTTGTCGTTCTGTGAACACACCAACATTTTCTACCGAAAATTTGTTCGTTGTGTGAACACAGCACAATTTTCTATAGAAAATTTTGTCATTGTATGAACACAGCAAAATTTTCTTTTTTTCTAGTTCAGTTCTAGTTCGGTTCCAGTTCAGTTCTAGTTCAGTTGTAGTTCAGTTCTAGTTCAGTTCTAGTTCAGTTCTAGTTCAGTTCTAATTTAGTTCTAGTTCAGTTCTAGTTCAGTTCTAGTACAGTTCTAGTTCAGTTCTAGTTCAGTTCTAGTTCAGTTCTAGTTCAGTTCTAGTTCAGTTCTAGTTCAGTCTAGTTCAGTTCTAGTTCAGTTCTAGTTCAGTTCTAGTTCAGTTCTAGTTCAGTTCTAGTTCAGTTCTAGTTCAGTTCTAGTTCAGTTCTAGTTCAGTTCTAGTCAGTTCTAGTTCAGTTCTAGTTCAGTTCTAGTTCAGTTCTAGTCAGTTCTAGTTCAGTTCTAGTTCAGTTCTAGTTCAGTTCTAGTTCAGTTCTAGTTCAGTTCTAGTTCAGTTCTAGTTCAAGTTCTAGTTCAGTTCTAGTTCAAGTTCTAGTTCAGTTCTAGTTCAAGTTCAGTTCTAGTTCAAGTTCTAGTTCTAGTTCTAGTTCTAGTTCTAGTTCAGTTCTAGTTCAGTTCTAATTCAGTTCTAGTTCAGTTCTAGTTCAGTTCTAGTTCAGTTCTAGTTCAGTTCTAGTTCAGTTCTAGTTCAGTTCTAGTTCAGTTCTAGTTTCAGTTAGTTCTAGTTCAGTTCTAGTTCAGTTCTAGTTCAGTTCTAGTTCAGTTTCTAGTTCAGTTCTAGTTCAGTTCTAGTTCAGTTCTAGTTCAGTTCTAGTTCAGTTCTAGTTCAGTTTAGTTCAGTTCTAGTTCAGTTCTAGTTCAGTTCTAGTTCAGTTCTAGTTCAGTTTTAGTTAGTTCTAGTTCAGTTCTAGTTCAGTTCTAGTTCAGTTCTAGTTCAGTTCTAGTTCAGTTCTAGTTCAGTTCTAGTTCAGTTCTAGTTCAGTTCTAGTTCAGTTCTAGTTCAGTTCTAGTTCAGTTCTAGTTTCAGTTCTAGTTCAGTCTAGTTCAGTTCTAGTTCAGTTCTAGTTCAGTTCTAGTCAGTTCTAGTTCAGTTCTAGTTCAGTTCTAGTTCAGTTCTAGTTCAGTTCTAGTTCAGTTCTAGTTCAGTTCTAGTTCAGTTCTAGTTCAGTTCTAGTCAGTTCTAGTTCAGTTCTAGTTCAGTTCTAGTTCAGTTCTAGTTCAGTACTAGTTCAGTTTAATCTAATCGCTCTAGTGTAGACTATATCTAAAATCTACTTTAGGCTGTAGTTCAGACTCTAGTTTAGACTATAGTCCAGAGTCTAGTTCTACTTTAGATCACTACTTTAGATCAAGTCCAGACTCTAGTTTGGAATTTAACGTATATTCTATTCTATATTATATCTAGTCCGTAATGCAAACACTAGTCCCTATATAAGTAATTCAAGCTGTACTCTATACTATACATAGTTCAGACTCTTAGCTTAACTAGGTTCCTGTTCTGCTGCAGATCCTAGTTCATATTCTAACCTAAACTCTAGTCTGTAACACAGATTTTTTTAGTCTTTTGTATAGGTAAAATTAGACTATGGGCCAGAATTTAATTCAAACTATAGTTACAATTTAGTTCAGACGCTAGTTTTAGACTATAGTCCAGCTACTTTAGTTTATATTTGTATTATAATCAAATCCGACATAAATGATTTCTTCTAAAAAATTTAATTCTTTATCAAATATCAAAGAGTTCACAACATTATTGTACTCAATCCCTATCAAGAAGTTCTCTCGAAAATCACTCTAACTTCGGATTAATACTAGTTTTATTTCAATTTGATTATGTTTTAAAATCTTACCATCTTCATGTTGTTGTTGCTGCTGTTGTTGTTGTTGTTGTCGATTTATTAGGTCCCCTAATAGATCTCGTATCAGAAATGATTTAGAATTTTGATTGTGCATGTTGGTTTTTTTTAATAATAAATTTTAACACTTTTTTTTTACTTTTTTATGAAAGTATTTTTAAAAAATATTTTTTCAATTGCCGTCGGTATAAAATTCTTTTATATCCTTTTCATTTTTTCGTGTTAACCGTTTTAACCGCTAAATTGTTGTTGTTTAAGTCAACTAAAATGAACAACTATTTTGTTATGATTTTTTCACTTTTCACATTAACGTAGTGAAATCCCTTAATAGGTTTTATAGCAAAAAAAATCAACTTTTTAAGGCGACAAAATCCAAAAAAAGGATTTAAAAAGCTAAACAGTGCTAAACGAATTACAAATAAATACTAACAGTTATAGAGCATAAGCTGTCAGCCGAGAGCATCAAATTTGTCTAAAATAATTTATCACCATCATAATAAATCTTACTTACTCTTAGATTTGGTAAAATTAACGGTAAATTACCTCCCCCTTTAAGGACAGAGAGTATCTGGAAAAAAAACGTGCTATTTAAAAACGTTAGCCATTTTGTTTTGTTAGTGTGTCTCTTTTCTCTTATGAAAAGCTTTTTCTAAGGGTTGTTAGTACTGGGTGGGTGGTTGTAGCTTTATAAGGGTAAGCTTTTTAAATGTTGTGATTTTATTGGTTAATATTTTGGGCAGTGTTTTTGTCTTCTTAACTCTACGTATTTCTCTTCCTTTTTTTCAGTTTTAAGCTAAATTGTTCGAGTATTTATTAACTTTTAAAAAAACATTTATTTGCCATTAAAAATCGATTTATTTAACTTTAATTTAATTGTGACTTTAATACTTTTTTGACATTGACTATAGTTCAGAACATTGGCTAGTCTATAGATTAGAATATTGACTAGTCTATAGACTAAAATATTGACTAGACTATAGACTACACTATAGACTAGTTCCGTTCTAATTCAGTTTTAGTCCAATTCTAGTTCAGTTCTAGTTCAGTTCTAGTTCAGTTCTAGTTCGGTTCTAGTTCAGTTCTAGTTCTAGTTCAGTTCTAGTTCTAGTTCAGTTTCTAATTCAGTTCTAGTTCAGTTCAAGTTCAGTTCTAGTCGTCAGTTCTAGTTCAGTTCTAGTTCAGTTCTAGTTCATTCTAGTTCACGGTTCTAGTTCAGTTCTAGTTCAGTTCTAGTTCAGTGTTCTAGTTCAGTTCGTTCAGTTCTAGTTCAGTTCTAGTTCAGTTCTAGTTCAGTTCTAGTTCAGTTCTAGCTCAGTTCTAGTTCAGTTCTAGTTCAAGTTAGTTCAGTTCTAGTTCAGTTCTAGTTCAGTTCTAGTTCAGTTCTAGTTCAGTTCTAGTTCTAGTTCAGTTCTAGTTCAGTTCTAGTTCAGTTCTAGTTCAGTTCTAGTTCAGTTCTAGTTCAGTTCTAGTTCAGTTCTAGTTCAGTTCTAGTTCAGTTCTAGTTCAGTTCTAGTTCAGTTCTAGTTCAGTTTTAGTTCAGTTCTAGTTCAGTTCTAGTTCAGTTCTAGTTCAGTTCTAGTTCAGTTCTAGTTCAGTTCTAGTTCAGTTCTAGTTCAGTTCTAGTTCAGTTCTAGTTCAGTTCTAGTTCAGTTCTAGTTCAGTTCTAGTTCAGTTCTAGTTCAGTTCTAGTTCAGTTCTAGTTCAGTTCTAGTTCAGTTCTAGTTCAGTTCTAGTTCAGTTCTAGTTCAGTTCTAGTTCAGTTCTAGTTCAGTTCTAGTTCAGTTCTAGTTCAGTTCTAGTTCAGTTCTAGTTCAGTTCTAGTTCAGTTCTAGTTCAGTTCTAGTTCAGTTCTAGTTCAGTTCTAGTTCAGTTCTAGTTCGTTCTAGTTCAGGTTCTAGTTCAGTTCTAGTTCAGTTCTAGTTCAAAGTTCTAGTTCAATTCTAGTTCAGTTCTAGTTCTGTTCTAGTTAAGTTCTAGTTCAGTTCTAGTTCAGTTCTAGTTCAGTTCTAGTTCAGTTCTAGTTCAGTTCTAGTTCAGTTCTAGTTCAGTTCTAGTTCAATTCTAGTTCAGTTCTAGTTCAGTTCTAGTTCAGTTCTAGTCAGTTCTAGTTCAGTTCTAGTTCAGTTCTAGTTCAGTTCTAGTTCAGTTCTAGTTCAGTTCTAGTTCAGTTCTAGTTCAGTTCTAGTTCAGTTTCTAGTTCAGTCAGTTCTAGTTCAGTTTCTAGTTCAGTTCTAGTTCAGTTCTAGTTCAGTTCTAGTTCAGTTCTAGTTCTAGTTCAGTTCTAGTTCAGTTCTAGTTCAGTATTAGTTAAGTTCTAGTTCCGTTCTAGTTTAGTAGAAAATAATCCAGACTGTGGACTAGACTATAGTACATACTAAGGACTAAATTCGAGGCTATACTACACTCTAAACTATAATCTAGAGTGTAGACTATAGACTACAGTATAGTCCAACTATATGTTTTAAATAAATATTTTTTTTTTTGTATTTTTGCCATTAACAAATCGTTATTTTACAACTTAAACTCTGTTGTTTATTTTAATACTTTTTTCGCAAAATCATAACATGGATATATATTACTATCATAAGTGGCTATATGAAGATTTTCTCCACAAACAAAAGTCTGTATTAATGTGGGGATTATGAAGTTCAGAGATTAAAGTACTGCAGGCAGTGGAAGGATCATTGGAGGCGCTTAGGCTGCCCTGAAAAGAAAACGAACTTAAGTTTAGATTTTTATAGATCACAAAATTTTTCGTTTAGCTATTGAAGAAAATTTTTACACTTTTAAAACTTACCAACCAAAATTCATTACCGGTAAGGCATTACCATCCCAGGCATATGAACGACCAGCAACATGTCCTCGTATTCCGCAGGCTTTTGAAATTTAATAAAGTTTTAAGAAATCTTTAAAACAGTTTACTTTTTCATCTTACCAATTTCTCATTCGGATTCCTTTCGATATACAAATCTTTATCCCCCCTTTAGGATGTCCGTGAGAAGCTATAAATCCATTATCTTTCAACTCTCCACATTCCATAAGATTAAAATAGAGAAATGCACTACACCAATATTATTTAGCAAAGGTAGTAAATAATTCAGACGTTCATAGAAACCTTCCATAAAAATTTTGTCCTGCTGGACCGCTGCACGCCAAACACCCAAACCAAAACCCACCACATGTAAATAGGCGCAACCGGGGCGGGCTCGTTGATTAGCCTCCAATAGCAGTAAATCAAATGAAAGAGCATAACGTTTTTTATCATAACATTATCGAATATAACCAGACAGTTAAGAGTATCACCAAAACGTAAATTATCCTTGGTGACCTTATCATACAAATGATCTTCCTCCTCATAGAATTTATTCCAAAGTCGGCGATAATCTTGCAGTTTTTCTAAAGTTTTGACTTTTCTTAAAGGATTTAAAGCTTCCAAAAGGCTTAAATTTCTTTGAGGTTTATCCATTGCTTCACCATAACCATTCTCCCTAGTATTTTGTTGTCTGGTTATTGTGATATCCTGAAACTCCATGACTTCTTTTCGTTCAAAACGTGCCCCTATCATGCCTATTACCAAGCCCTCTCGCTCGATTTTATTTAAATCTTGTTCGCGTAAACCTTTATTATAGCGATCGCCATCATTAATGAATTCGGTTTTGGAGGAAACCGACAGAAGGGCCGAAATCTTTAATTAAAAATAATACATATTGTTTTCTTAATTTTGGTAAAAGGTTTTACCTTTATTTCATCATAACTTAAAACATTTGCCAATATTAAAGGCTCTCTTTCTTCTGGAGTGCCCACTTTCAGATATTGGCGTCCAAAACCCGTAGCTCCTGTTATCAGCAAAAAATCATCATCGGTACCCACAAAACTGACACATCTTTTGGTTAACAAACGTTGTACGAATTCGCAGATCGATATATTTTTTTAAAGTTTACGCTCGCAGGGAGAACCTGTGAAGAGAAGAATGTATATAATTGATACAAGTTCTAGTTAAATTCTAGTTCAGGTCTTGTTCAGTTCTCGTTCAGTTCTAGTTCAGTTCTAGTTTAGTTCTAGTTAATTTCTAGTTCAGTTCTAGTTCAGTTCTAGTTCAGTTCTAGTTCAGTTCTAGTTCAGTTCTAGTTCAGTTCTAGTTCAGTTCTAGTTCAGTTCTAGTTCAGTTCTAGTTCAGTTCTAGTTCAGTTCTAGTTCAGTTCTAGTTCAGTTCTAGTTCAGTTCTAGTTCAGTTCTAGTTCAGTTCTAGTTCAGTTCTAGTTCAGTTCTAGTTCAGTTCTAGTTCAGTTCTAGTTCAGTTCTAGTTCAGTTCTAGTTCAGTTCTAGTTCAGTTCTAGTTCAGTTCTAGTTCAGTTCTAGTTCAGTTCTAGTTCAGTTCTAGTTCAGTTCTAGTTCAGTTCTATTTCAGTTCTTGTTCAGTTCTTGTTCAGTTCTAGTTCAGTTCTTGTTCAGTTTTAGTTCAGTTCTAGTTCAGTTCTAGTTCAGTTCTAGTTCAGATCTAGTTCAGTTCTAGTTCAGTTCTAGTTCAGTTCGAGTTCAGTTCTAGTTCAGTTCTAGTTCAGTTCTAGTTCAGTTCTAGTTCAGTTCTAGTTCAGTTCTAGTTCAGTTCTAGTTCAGTTCTAGTTCAGTTCTAGTTCAGTTCTAGTTCAGTTCTAGTTCAGTTCTAGTTCAGTTCTAGTTCTAGTTCAGTTCTAGTTCAGTTCTAGTTCAGTTCTAGTTCAGTTCTAGTTCAGTTCTAGTTCAGATCTAGTTCAGTTCTAGTTCAGTTTAAGTTCAGTTCTAGTTCAGTTCTAGTTCAGTTCTAGTTCAGTTCTAGTTTAGTTCTAGTTCAGTTCTAGTTCAGTTCTAGTTCAGTTCTAGTCCAGTTCTTGTTCAGTTCTTGTTCAGTTCTAGTTCAGTTCTAGTTCAGTTCTAGTTCAGTTCTAGTTCAGTTCTAGTTCAGATCTAGTTCAGTTCTAGTTCAGTTCTAGTTCAGTTCGAGTTCAGTTCTAGTTCAGTTCTAGTTCAGTTCTAGTTCAGTTCTAGTTCAGTTCTAGTTCAGTTCTAGTTCAGTTCTAGTTCAGTTCTAGTTCAGTTCTAGTTCAGTTCTAGTTCAGTTCTAGTTCAGTTCTAGTTCAGTTCTAGTTCTAGTTCAGTTCTAGTTCAGTTCTAGTTCAGTTCTAGTTCAGTTCTAGTTCAGTTCTAGTTCAGTTCTAGTTCAGATCTAGTTCAGTTCTAGTTCAGTTTAAGTTCAGTTCTAGTTCAGTTCTAGTTCAGTTCTAGTTCAGTTCTAGTTTAGTTCTAGTTCAGTTCTAGTTCAGTTCTAGTCC